TAGTGGGACCAGCACACTATTTTTCATGTTGCATGTTGTTTGCAAAAATTGTTATTTTCACGTTGGATCCCACAAAATTTGTCTATCGCTCACAAATGGTTCGTGACAATTGATCGAGAAAAATGTAAACAAAAAAAAAAAAAAAAAACATACAATAGTGGTGCTTCTAACACTTTTATGGCATCATGAAAGATAATGAGTCGCGGATTTACGTATATTCTCCCGAAAGTAAAGATCTGTCGACATCATTGGTGTTTCAAGATAAACCGAATCTAGTAAAAGTTGTTCGCGCACGAAGCAGTTCCAAGCAAATGCGTGAATCTTAGCCCGAAAAACCCCTATCACCATAACAACGCAGAACAATAAATTTGAAGGGTATACAACCATTTTCTTGTCAGTTGTCTTTTAAGAAATCAGGAAAACCAACCGCCGAAGACGGATCACTTTTTACCATGACTATGCGATCACACATCSACTGAAATCATTGTATTTTTGAGCACTTAAAACATCGATTTGATGATTATTCCAGACTTGATACCGAGTGACTTCTTTTTAKTCCCCTACGTAAAAAATAAACGTTTTTCGATACCTGAAGRGTCGGTTGATACGYTCAMAAGGCATGTTTTGRAGATACCTCTATCARAGTGGCAAAAGTGCTGCGACAATTCTTTCAAACGCATCCAAAATTGTATATCGTAGATCTTAATGAATAATATTTTGAAAAACAATAAAACGATTTTCGATGATTAATATTTTCTTTTATTGCCTTATCCCGCATTATAAAAGGCAACCCTCGTACATGATATCCTTTTTTCCCTTGAACGAACTCATAGCACTGTTAACATAAATTTTTACACTATCTTAACACTTGTGATTAGATTWGTGGTGCAATAGACCAAATTCATGAATTTTTTATTGTTTAGAAAATAAATTAAATTATATTTTGTTTGTATGATTGCTCTCTTCTTAAAATTATTAACTCGAATTTGTAATTGGAACTCAAACCACCTTTTGYTGTGGTAATGCTGTTGCGTATCTCCTCATGAACGTTGCGCCCAAGGACCGTACGAACGCTTCATTATATTGTATTAAACAACGAGATAACATTTTAACAAGAAGAATAACGTTTTCAAATTATTTACTTAGTGTGTTTTTTAGTTTTTTATCACTCAACATGCATCGGAATTGGAATGCACACTAATTCGCATGTAGAGAAACAGCACTGTACATTACCGCGTTTGCAAGCTAACTAAAGTGCTTTGCATAAACGATCGCGTTTGTTAGTTATTGTTTATTAATATCAGTATAACGCTCAACTTTCTGATTTACGATTGCGCTTTTTCAGCAACAAATTTTCAGGCGCTCGGAAATGTGATTACAAGAAATTGTAGCGTTATCAAACATCACAGCAAACAACAAATAAGAATGCATCACAGCTCGTCAAGGTGTAGTAAATAACTGTACATTGTATATTATGATCTCAAGTGAATCTTAAGTATGGGCTCTCGTTAAGTACATACATATATTATATCATACATTGCAATACTGTCTAAATAAATTATCACAAGCAATTTGTCTCGTGTGAAGTCGCTTGCATAAAATACTATGCTTAAGTTCCTCAATATCGGCTTTATAGTCAATATTAACTAAGRTAAGTATAAGTTGGTACATTCATAATTTTACCGTTGTCGATAAAATTAAGTTTCATTAAACACCTCATAGGGAATACTAACTGATTACTGTCTGGTSACGACACACGCCCGTAAGATAGGGCTGACAGATTGAGAAGATTGCAGAAGATTCCAGAGCAGTGAACCAAAGAAGCAATGGAGCATCTTTTTTGCACTTGTTCCCCGTTGGCAAGACTACACTGTGTGCATATGGGGTCCGCAGACTCTGTTAAAAGGATGATTACTGCTCTTGGACCTAGCAACTGAACTCCATTTGAACCAAAACTGGTGTACCGGTGGCTTAGTGGCCTACCAGATTAACCTAACCTAAATAATCGCCGTAAATATTTATGTACAATATTTTATATTATCTGCGATGTTTCTTTCTTTGTTAGGGTATCAAATATGTAGATATCATAACTACATAGCTAGATAATGGAAATAAGTAACCAGTTTGCATGTAGTGTATATAGTGGTCTCTGAGCTATAGTGACCCAAGTTTTTCATTGAAATACAGTACCATTCTAGTCTAGAGAGTTAGAGCAGCGGCATCGCAGTTTTAATATTTCTAAAATACAATTAATTGATACCAAAAAAAAAATAAAATATGTATATATATTAAACTAATTATATTCCTCCGAACTGATAATGACGTCTGTGACGTCTATATTATGTATGTAACTGATAACAAAACTGCAATATGTGCATTTGTATATTGCATGCATTCATACAAATACATATCTATACGTRTTCATATGCATATTTGTAGTTGTAGACGGAATGCTTAGCATCAACAAATCACCAGAGTTGAATGTATTTTTGTTGTAGATAGAAATGACCTTCAAATGCTAATTGGTTTGAGAGGTATAGCATTTTAAGTGAAGAAACTTTAGTATCTTGAAAGAAAAAATTGTTCAACAAGTAAGGAAAGCCTAAATTCGGGTGCAACCGAACATTTTATGTTACTGCAATTTGCAGAATTCAAAGCCATGGAAATAATTTAAGATGTAAATTGTTAACCAGAGGATCGGAATCTAAGCAGTTTTATATATAGTATACATTTACATCATACAACTCAGACTCATATATGTATTTGGTGTAAGATTTGTTAGGACAACAAAAAGCAGTATATGTATGCATCCTTCAGGAGTTTTAAAAACTCACTCACTTTCACTAAGGAAAATCACAATCTTATTAAGTAAAGTCACCCGGAAACTAGAAAATATCTATCACAGCCTTTCTATTGTCAAGAAAAGATTCTATCTGGCTGATGAATTTTGCTACATTAAGAAACTCAAATAATTGTTTTTTTCAGTGTATGGAATTCATTTTTCTTTTATTCATGTTAAAGCTCATTCAATTTTATTAAATATAGCTTAATTAGGTTTAAAAATAATGAAATTTAAATGACCAATGAAAATGCTCAAGAAACGGTGTCCAGTAACCGTAACGGTGTGACCGTTTTCTTCGAAGAAGTAGGGCCCGACAATGCAGCGTGATGAAACTGCACACCACACTGTGACACGAAGTTAATGCAATTCCGTCTCATGGAGTATCTGTGGGTTGGAAGCACTCCATATTCGACAATTTTGTTTGTTTATGTTGCCGTTTAAATCGAAATGGGCCTCGTTAGACATGAAAAGACAGTTCAACATGCTTCCATCCTCTTCCACCATTTGAAGCATCTTCTGGCTAAATTCCAAGCGAATCGGCAAGTCTACAGCATTCAGTTTGTTGACCATTTGAATTTTATATGGGAATAAGTCCAAATCTTTGTGCASAATTGACTGTAATGACTGTCTGCTTACACCCATTTGAGCAGATAAGCTTCTTGTCGAAACACGTGGATTGTTTTGTATGGCAGCAGCTACAGCAGCGATTGTTTCCTCCGTTCGAACTGAAGGGTTTCGATGGTAAGGTCTTCTGTTGACTGTCCCATGCTCGGGAAAATTGTTTACAAGTCTCATTATAGTCCATCTGCTCGGAGGATTGCCGCCAAACGTGCGCCTATACTCTCTTTGAACCGAAACTACGGACTCCAGTGCGTGATTGCGGCGGAGAATCCAAATTCTTGTTTCAGTGTCCCAGTTATCCATTTTTGTTAAATGTAAAAGTCAATCTGCAAAATAAAAAAAAAAAAAATTAACCAGATTCATTAAATAGAAAAAAGTTATTTAATTATTTTTTGGTAGCGGCTTTCATCAGCCACCCTGTATCTACCACATGGACCAATTTTTTCGGTCAAAAGTGAACTATATTGCGGTTTGCATATTCGGTACATAGAAGCTTGAACAAATTTGGTTGAATTTGAGCAAATTTTAGTCACATCTGTGTTGTAGAGCAGCTGCTGAAGCGTTGGGATRCCGGCCTTGGTTAGGTAGCTGTTCACAAGAAAGGCGGTGTGAGCCGGGACGTTGCCGTSGGGCAACTTCCAATCGGCTGTGATTGAGTCTCTTGAAGACTTCCACGTAAAACTTGGCGTTGACGGTTTGTCCAGGAGGAACAAATTTTTGGTGGACGTTGCCTTTGATGTAAAAAAAAAAGAAAAAAAAAACCAAACCATGAGCTTCGTTTTCAATTTGAATTTGCTTATTCATCAGTGATATCTTCCCGTACCTCCAAAACGGTCTGGTGCCACCGAAATACAGCACTTCTTGCTAAATAAACATATGGGTAGGCCTGCTTGATCATATCAAACGTCTCAGTCGCAGATTTGCTGAGTTTCAAACGGAATTCAGTTGCGTACCTCTGCTCTAACGAACGCTGCATTTTCGGCTTGCATCACTCACAGAAATCACAGTTTGTGATGACTCTTTAGGTGCTCGCAGACACTGACCGGCCGCTCGAACGTCCACCACCGAATCCAGTCGGTGCCTCCACACTCCGAAGTAGAGTGTCGCTGGAAGAATATCTTTCCTAATCCTATAGTTTTTGAACTATCGATCTGAAATTTACGCATCCTTCCTTTCTAAATAAGAAGCTGCTCCCTTGTTGTAACCACCGTTATCAAAGAACTATAGCATATAGCATCCATATAAACTGAACGATCGCAATCGATTGCTTGTATCGAAAACTTTTTCATTTGAAGAGATATCTTCTCGAAATGACATGGCTTATTGCGTAAGACAAAAGTGCAATCTCCGAAGAAATTATTCATAAAGGAACATATAGCATATAGCTGCCAAATTGAATGATCGGAATGTAGTTCATGTAAGGAATCGATATTTGTTAAGGATATTACAATTACTGTGTAATCGTTGCTAAAGCGTGTTTAAGTCAGTTTTTGCTGTCTGGAAGCTTCAGAAATAACTGGATTTTATATTGTACAAATATATTTTATTCGCATTTTTATTACATATTGAGCCCTAATACTCTTTGCTAATATAAAAATATTCCATTTATAGAAACTTATAAGTGAAACGTTTCATAAATGTTACTTTTTTTTACTTATGCGCTTCCATCAATCATCGCATTTTCACTCTTTTCTTTCAGCGAATCTGAATTTCAATGGTATAGCTGGTAGGAAAATTAACTTCTGGGTAAAAGCATTTTCAGTKGAATAATTAAATTCAATCGTGAAATTGCGCACCAAGCGCGCCAACGTGACCTCTAATTCAAGATCCACAATTCGCTTGCCYACACAACTGCGTGGACCAAAGCCGAAGGGAAGAAATATAAAAGGGTTATTGAGTTGATGTTTTTTACCCTCTGTGTCATTACGCAGCCAACGCTCTGGTATATATTTATTTGGCTCTTCCACAAACTTCTCATTTCGCAACAACAAATTGGAAGCAACCGAAATATCAATACCGGCCGGTATCCGATATCCGCTCAGCACAACATCGTTTAATAGTCGACGATTTGTGCCAACAATAATGGGATGATAGCGCATGCCTTCCTTAATACAAGCGCGCAGATAAGGAAGATTKTKCATATTCTCGATAGTTAAGCGAGAGTCCTTGTTTGGTAAAATACTTTTGAGTTCCTCGAATAGTTTCTGTTGTTTGTCTGGATTTTTGGCGATRCAAAATAATATGCCCGTTAAGGTGGAACTTGTCTGTGATAACGAAAGMATAAATTTGAAATATTTTCTTAACCACATGATTGAGTTGTGCTRAACTTACTGTGTCGACGCCAGCCATCATCATATCCATTGCCATAACAACAGCGATTTTGCGATCAATTTTCAATAGTTTCTCTAAAACGCTCTTCTCCTTGCCCACCTCTGAGGTGAATTTACCCTCGCTATCCGAATCAATTCGTTTTAGTGCCTCATCGATATATTTGTTGCACAATACTATRAGCGTATCCAATGTTTTCATCAATTTATGGAAYGTCGGTGTTTTGACTATCTTCCAAATAGATATCTTGAGTTCTATCTCTTCCGAAAGAGCGAAAAAATTGCGTATTTCCTTCAAAAGTGTTTTAGTTTCCGGACTATCACGATTTTTATGTATCATTCCTAAACGGGTATTGAGGGCAATGCTCACAACACCCTCTAAGGTGAGACGATTAATATCATCAAGAAAGTCCTCTGGCACTTCGAGTGTCGAAGGATCACGTATGTGACGTATTCTATAAATTCAGTAGGTATAAATTAATGTTTTCTTAAAAAAAATTAAATATTGAAAAATATAACAAATATGGTAATAACCTGTCCAAAAATTCATCGTTGACTTCCAATAACGTGTTTAAGTAGAGTTTGGCATTTTTGGGTTGCATTAGCACCGGATTAACGGCGGTACGTATTTTGCCCCATTCTTCGCCACTTCTACAAATGYGTTTAGAAAGGAGTAAGATGTTTCATATATTTCTGTTTACAATAAATTTACGTGGTCAATAGTCCCTCTACGCCTTGAAAAAAATCCTTTCTATGCACCTTACGATGATAATATAAGGTCCCAAAAGTCCGTCGTTCTGGCCAAATACCCTCGTTGCGAAATATTATGGGATAATCATTTGGATTAAAATTCATTATCGCTTCGGGTCTACCGAACACGGAAGGAAATCGATAGATATCACCATATATGTGTTTCATGATTGTAAGTACTTCAATAAATGTTTTCTTATGGTACACACCTGAAATAGGGAGTGAACAGATATTTCGATATTTGGTGATAATTTTAAAAACCTACCTCCYGGTAAAAGTCCACGAAAAATTTCATATTTGCTTGGCCCTGGTAACTCTGAATATGGACGCACATTTTCCCAATTAGTCGAAGTAGAAGTTCCTTGGTTTTCCTATAAATTAAAATCGATTAAGTAAATGAAAAATATTTTGTCCAGCTTAAGGTTTGGCACAAGAATTTTTGAATATGTTTTTCCAAAATTGATATTTCGTGCTATAAACTTTTATATTTATCCCAATTCAATTACTTAAGCGCTTATGCTTCTTCTTATGAAAATATAGTTTAATTTTTATTCCAWATTACAGCTTTTCAGTTTGATGATTTGAAACTATTCGCATTGAGTTATTCATCGAAAATCAGGTTTACTTTTAGATGGAATATCTGAAAAATCTATTTTTGAATCGTAAAAAGAGAGCTCGTCAGCTGGTTTTGACATTACGAATGGCAAACGCGTGACAAATAGTATATTGTTGTTTTTATGCTCACATCACAACCTTTTATACTCATAACTGAATTATGCTTTAGCTCTTAGTGTCAAGTCATTTACAGCGATGAGAGGCAGTGCTGGGTCAAGTTATTTTACCTTACGYCCTGAAAACTGTACGAGTATAAATCCGACTATAAATTTTCATACATGAACCCAGACGCTAAATATAGGCGCTAAGCATATGGCTGACTTCTTGWCGAAAATATCGGTCAATCTGTGAGATATAGTATAGTAAGTCGGGGAAATCTTCCTTGATAATAAGTCGGACTTAASGCTTTCTACTTCACTTAGCCCTCTCATACTTAATATAAACATTTTCGAACTTCCAACAGAATCGGTGAAACTAGTTTACTATACAGTTTTGCCAAAATCTATGTATTAATTTTGCAAGTTGCTGGAGTATAAAATGTTTGATCAACCCGAAGTTAATCCTTCCTTACATTTGACCTTATCCCTAATTTTTCGGTTTTAGTTGCATTCAAAGTTCTTACAAAAAGAACATTGATTGACCTTTAATAGCAATAAAATAATAATCACAATTTACCTGCTTTTGCTGCACAGCTGTTGCATATCTTCTAAAAATCGTTGAATCGAACGAACGGCCGACTATTGGCTCGCACTTAATTAGAAAGCGCGATAACATGTTGAGTGTTTTGATTATATTAGTTAAATTAAAACAGTTTATTATGCGCACAGCATGAAGAATATTTTAAAACTTGTTGCYAGAGAGAAATGCTACTGATCACTACCGCTCTTGTAAACCTACTGTTTCGATGATTCACAATTTTGTAGTGGGCATATTCTAATCAGACACAAAAATGCAATACCAATTGTGAAAGCTTTGGTCAGAGCTTTTTCTTATTTATMACATAATTAGAAATGCATTCCATAATACTGTACTGTGTGAGATACTTGTTCTTCTTCTATAGACGCGCCAGAAGAGAGTACAGAGTGATATTTTTATATTTTTCTTTTACCAAAATCTTTTAGAGCACATTGAATGAGTTTGAAATATTTCTATAGTTACTAACTTTCCTTTACTACTTTAGAAACTAAATTTCACAGAAATTTTTATTATTAAACATATCTAAAAACTTAGAAACCAAAAATACTACATTTGAAAAAATCAATAATTTTTTATTATAAACTTTTTTTTGATATGAATATGAATATTGTGACACCTTAATATTGGGTAGTCGAAAAAGTCTTTTCGTATTTTGTCAACAGAGGTTGCAGTTGTATATCTCCAGTGCTACCAATCACATTGTATCATACCATATACTATTGGAAAGGTGAGATTCTCAAGTTTATTTATTGACAAAACAAAAAAAAAAAAAAAATCGATCTGTCGTTGAAAAAGTCGATGGAATTATAGAAAATATTGATCAGGACTGTCACATAAGCAGCAATGACATCGCTAAGGAACTCAACATTCATCGTCAAACGGTTTTGAATCATTTAAAAAATGCTGGCTACAAAAAAAAAGCTTGATGTTTGGAATTGAATCACAWGAATTGTCTGTGAAAATTTAATGGACCGAATTAACATCTGCGACTCGTTACTGAAACGAAATTAAATCGAACCATTTCTGAAGCGAATGGTAAAAAGAKACTTAAAGTGGATCTAATATGACAATACTGTGCGAAAAAGATCCTGGTCCAAGCGTGGTGAAGCTCAACGAATGGTCGCAAAGCCAGGATTGACACCTCGAAAGGTTATGATCTGTGTTTGGTGGGATTGGAAAGGAAACATTCACTATGAGCTGCTGCAGCCTGGTCGAACGATTGATTCTACATTTTACTGCACACAACTGATAATATTGAAGCAAGCAATCGAAAAAATGGGCAGAACTGATCAACAGAAAAAGAATTCGTCTTTCATTAGGACAACGCTACACTTTACACTTACACTTACATCTTTGATTACTCGGCAAAAACTGGGAAGTTTTGATGCATCCACCATATATTCCTGACTTTGCAACATCGGACTACTATTTATTTCGGTCAATGCAGAACTACCTTAATGGAGTTGGCTTCAAGAGAAGTCTGTGAAAATTACTTGTCGCAGTTTTTCGCCGAGAACCAGAAAAGTTTTACACTGATGGAATTATGTTTCCAGCGGAAGAGTGGCAAAAAGCGGTCGTCCAAATTAGTATATTATAATTATAAAAATAAAAAACTAAGTTGAAGTTTGATTAGATATAGGAGAAATTTATTGGTCTTTCCTTGGTCTAATGTAGTTAGAACTTTTTTTAATTTCGAAATTTACATATTTTTAAGATTTTATATTTATATCAAAATATTGATGAATGCCAAAATACATTTTCACAAATTTCAACTGTTTTTAATATCTGATCGCAAGTAAGAATACATGAGCCTTTGTTAAGTAATTCTTTTCAGGGCTTAATATGTTATAATAACATAACTGCAACTTATAATGAGTTTTCATCAATTCTCATGCCTAACGCTACGCTCCTCTCTCGATGAATTTGAATTTGAGCGGTATTTGCGGCACACTCATGAACTTCATAGCGAATGCATTTTCGSTCGGGTAATTAAATTCAATTTGAAAATTTCGCACCAAACGTGACAATGTTATTTCTAGCTCCAAATTGACGACACGCTTGCCCACACAACTGCGTGGACCAAAGCCGAAGGGTACATACAAAAATGGATTGGTAATTTGCCCTTCCAAAGCTTGGGCGGATTGATCGTTACGCAGCCAACGTTCCGGTATAAATTTATCCGGCTGTGGCACATAGCGTTCATCATGCATCAACAGATTGGCGCCTATGGATATGTCGGTACCGGCAGGTATACGATAGCCGCTCAGCACTACATCATTGGGCAAACGACGCACCGTACCCGGTAGGATGGGATAACAACGTATGCCCTCTTTGATGCAGGCRCGCAGGTAAGGCAGATTTTGCATATTTTCAGTTGTCAACTGTGATTCTTTCTCTGGCAATATTTGCTTAATTTCTTCAARTAGCTTTTGTTGTTTATCGGGATTCTTGGCAATGCATAACAATAGGCCAGTCAAAGTGGAGCTCGTCTGCGCGTGTAGTGAGAAATAGAATATTAATCAAAATCCCTTCATCTTYAAATGCGCTCACTTACCGTATCAATGCCAGCTAACATCATATCTAAAGCCATTACCACGGCGAATTTCTTATCAACACGCACTAATTTCTCCAAAACGCTCTTCTCTTTGCCCAGCTCCGATGTGAGGTTGCCCTCACYGTCGTGTTCAATACGCATTAGCGCTTCGTTAATGTACTTATTGCAGATGTCCGTCATCGTGTCTAATGTCTTCATCATTTCCTTAAATTTCGGTGTTTTCACATAYTTCCATATGGATGGTTTAATCTCTAGTTCTTCGGAGAGTACGAAGAAATTCCGTACGCACTTCATGATCGTTTCACACTCGGCCGTGTCACGATTTTTGTGTATTAAACCGAGACGTGTGTTCAGCGCAACGCCTGCGATGCCCTCAAAAGCGAGTCGATTAATATCATCGAGGAAACCGCCGGGCACTTCCAAAGTACTGGGATCGCGTATGTACCGTATTCTACCAGCAGAGTGTAAGCGATTGAAATATAGTTCTTATGAATCTTGAAATAGTACATTTGTTCGAGTTACCTTTCTAAGAACTCGTCGTTAATCTCCAAGAGCGTATTCAAGTATAGCTTGGCATTTTTCGGTTGCATGAGTATAGGATTCACAGCCGTACGCATTTTCGCCCATTTTTCACCAGATCTGTTATAAAATATTAAACAGAATATRTCAAAATATAATAAAGTATTTATACATACATACGTGTACGAGTATGTGATACTCACGTTGATATAATACCCTCGACCCCGTGAAACAATTCAGGCCGATGTTTTTCACGATGATAGACGGTAGTTTCGAAAACGCGGCGATCGGGCCATAACCCTTCATTACGAAAAATAATCGAATAATCCGAGGGGTTTAAATTAATTACAATTTCGGGTTTGTCAAATATGCCGGGAAAGCGAAAAATTTGTCCATAYGTCTTTTCCATTTCCCGAATGGCGGTAAAAAATGGTTTTTTGGAGAACAAACCTGAAATAAAATGATGAAGAATTATAAAATTATATTAGGTGTACTATAGGTGACTTCGATATTTTATAAAATTAGTGCGCGAGTTGATCACTAATAAACTAACGGAGCTTAAAATTTAGTTATATGGAAAGTAGGCGGAGTTGTGATCCGATTTTGAAAATCTTCTTCAATGTTCTATGATTTCTGCATTACACTGCGGAAAGTTGTGAACTTGGACCATAGCCTCGTCTACTTCCACATATCACAAGTTTTAAGATATCGTATATATACCGAATGTGGGGGCCACAGCGCTTATGACTGACTTTTTACCTTAAATATTGAATTGAAATTCAGAGAWAATCAATGTGTAAGATATCTTAAAAATTTCTTGAAAGTATTTCAGGTCGTAACCCGATCTCTACACTTCAAAGCGGTCAGCGCATTCTTCTTCTTCTTTACTGGCGTGRATTATAGSCGAGTTAACAACAGCGCGCYAGTCCAAGCGAAGCCAGGTCYTTCTCCACCTGGTCCTTCCAACGGAATGGATATCTTGCTTTTCCTCTGCCTCACCAGTGCCTAGTCGCGAGTGCGACGAYTGTTTGTTTAATGACAGGAGATATTTCGTCTTGCCCTCGTTCATTGCAAGACCCAATTTGCTTTGCTTCCTTGTCCATTCTGGAGAAAACAGAACGAACGTTGCGAGTGTTGAGGCCAACGATATCAATATCATCGGCATACGTCAGCATCTGTACACTCTTGTATTGTACCTGCTCGATTAAGTTCTGCAGCTCGAATTATTTTCTCCAGCAGCAGATTGAAGAAATCGCACGATAGGTAGCCGCTTTGTCTGAAACCTCGTTTGGTATCGAACGGCTCGGAGAGGTCCTTCCCGATTCGGACTGAGGTATTGCTCAACGTCAGTTTACACATTTAGATATTAGTTAGTAGTTTTGCGGGGATACCAAATTCAGTCATCGCGGCATAAAGGCAGCTCCTTTTCGTGCTGTCAAACGCAGCTTTGAAATCRACGAAGAGGTATTGTGTGTCGATTCTCTTTCACGGGTTTTTTCCAAGATCTGCAGAAGGAATCATTTGGTCCATAATTTTTCAAAAGTGAGACCGGCGATAATGTTACAATCAATGGGAAGTGCTATAGAGCTATGGTTAATGACTTTGTCGTGCTTGAAATTGAGAGTGTTGATGTGGACTCTTCAAGACAGAGCCAACGAAACAATATATTTATTGAATGAAACTTTGATGGACCCAAGGACGCGACAGACCTTGCATACTGACCGACCAAAATTTGTTCATTTATTTATTAGTGTAAATATAAAAAAATAAGTTTGACTAGAAATACGAAAAGACTTTTTCSACCCAATAAATTTAAATCGAATAACCTTTYTTACTTATTAAGGATCTCACAAAGAATTATAGGCGTAAATTGCATTGTCCGAAATTTAAAACTAATATATATTAATTAACCTTTTGACATTTAAGAATTGAATGAAATCAACAATCTGAAATACCAAGTGAAATCACAGAAATAAACATAAAAATGTTATATCTATATGCATAATGATTATCACTTACCTCCAGGCATGAATAAACGTATCAACTCGAACTTGCTTGGCCCAGGTACATCTGAGTACGGTCGTGCGTTTTCCAAGTCCACATCACTTGCATTGTTTTGCTAAAAATAAAATATAGAGCAATATAGAGCAATAAATAAGAAAATAACAATTAAGTGAAAATATTATGCATTTAGTCAGACCTACCTTAGACTCAACTTGCGCTGCAAAAGTTCGTACCCTTGAAACGCGCAAATGACGCCAGCCGATGTGATCAATTTGCTTTAAATGCCTCGATAACATGTTTGCCGTTGATTATTGCTYCTATTCATTAATTTATTACACCAAGCGCAATGAAAACGCGAAATTTCGAAATTTAGAAGAATAGAAGGCGTCCACAAATATGGTTGTGCTTGCCGCTCCACAAACTTTGGCACAATGAATAAGCTCTTGGCAGTCGCTCACGATCAGTCTGTGCATTTATAAAATTTTATGTGGAATATTTAATAAACATTGCTAATATGCATCTGCTAATGTCTGCACTRCTTTAGCTCACTGTGTTAGCCACTGCGAGTCTATGTATGCATATGAACATATGCGAAATAGATAAGTGAAGCATTTAGCTTCAAAACGAGCTTTTGTCATTCATATACCTACGTACACTTGTACGTATGTATATGCCAATACTGTTCAACTTTGTTGTTGATATTTTTGTCGCTTTTTGTTTTTATCGCCTCATTTGTTTGTAAACAAATCACTATATGTTTYGTATGTATAGACAGAGAGAAATAATTGCGAAGAGTGAGCTTCGTCTGGTGAGCTTTTTTGCTCTGAACGTGTATGTTATTGTTGGTTTAACTTACGGCACACTTATCCACTAAACTGGTTGATTACGCATAAATTCAAAAAGAATGGATWTTGTCAAAATTTATGAATACTTTTATATTCTTGCAATATGAAGCCATAGAGCATAATAGCTTTTTTAAATAACGGTTGTATGTAAAAAACTAACCTAAAGCTAAGCGAGATAGTAAGGTTATATATATGTATGTAAATGATAACGATGACGAGACAAAAATGAACTTGGCACAAATCTTTCTCAAGAGAGTTTCTGTATAATATAATAAATACCCTTATTGTAATACTTATACCGTCCGATGGCCGCACTATCCCAAGAGAAATTTACTATTATGTAGTATTTTATCGTATCTCCTSTCATCAAACAAACAGACGTCGTAACATCGAAGACGTAGACCATTTCGTTTATCTTGGATTCCTCTTAACGAGGAATAACTCTTGTCAACAGGTGCTACTTCCGACTGAGTGGGCAATTGAGAATAAAAGCCTTTTCTCGACGAAAAGAGTATTTTCTCATTCCTGATGAGTCGATTTACGGTCCAGCTCTGAGTGTATTCGAGGAAGACTTCCACTCCGTCGGAATGGCTGGGTGGAGAAGGAACTGGCTATACTTGGAATCGTCAATTGCCGCCCAGCGAAAAAGRAGAACAACTGCCGAGCAGTTGTAAACTCGGTTAAGGCCGCGTAAGCGGTGTCTCTAAATGATAAGAAGAAGTATATTTTCGTACACCAGACGACTATTGTTAAAAAGGAATCGGACTTGTCGTTTT